GCTCGACTTTTTGGCTCAGCTCTGGTACTATCTTCGGTCCCAAGCTAATCGATTCACCCCTCGAAACATAGAAAAATCCAATAACCCCTCATTTTATCTGTCAAACTTTCATAGCGAATCAAAACAAACATTGTGTAGTACTAGAATTTCGACAAGAATGGGATACGTTAATCGATTTGCTTGGGACCAATAGGCTAGTCAAGTACCCAACAAACAATTGGGAGCTCTTATAAAACACCTGAGTTGATCAAACGTTGAATAATAGCTTCCAGAGTTGTACAAGAATGTAGTTGTATTGCCATTTGGTTAAAAGCTTCAAAAGCTGCTTGGAGCACTCTTAAATGATTGTTTACGTTCGACCAACCACCAACCACAATTTTGTTGCTAAAAATAGCACAAGTGATAGGCACGTTTATATGACCGTAAGGCAATGATTATTCGACTGCAAGAGAAATCACTCAAGATGAGCTTCATATACTTCTCTCATATGATCAAAATATGTATTCAAGAATAGAGCAGATGGAAATAGAAGCGGCTTGGCAATCCGGGATCATGAGTTCAAATCTTGCTTCGAGAAACCCTCATATAATCAACGATAACATTTCTAGATAAATTCTCTCAATTAATGATTAGAGAGATTAATTGAAAGAATATCAATCAGAGATTAAACAGATGCTTGTTTACTACTTCCTCCATGATCACGGAATGTGAATTATGGCATAATTACATATTTTTTCTATGTGCACAAATAAATTAAATTAATAAAAACTGTACAAGCAATTATTTTGGCGTACCACGACAATTGTTAAACTAATTTTAATCTGTGAATATTGTGAGTACTTACACAACGGTTATTAAGGAGTCATTGAAAAGTGCTATAAACGCTCTTCAAGGCTTGCTGTACAATGATTATTTAGGAGTTATAAAAGAGTGCAACGAATGCCTCTCAGGTTTACTCTCTACTAAATTTCAAAGCAGCTGTCAAGAAGTGTCTACAAACGTTGTATAATAGCTTTCACCAAAATAATAAAGCATGAGTTTAAATATGTATCTATAACGTTGTATAAAAGTTGCTTCTACTCCTATACCGCGTATACATATAATGCTGTAGTTGAACAGGTTCTCCAAACCAGTGTAAACAAGAGTTTTACAGAAGTTGTAATAAACAAATTGTACAGTTATTATTCAGCATGCAGTTGAATAAAATCACAATGGAAGCGTTTCTTCAAGAAGAAATTGATTTTGGGTAAACGTTTTACTGAATACGTTAGACAACACCTTTGTGTTGCAGTTGTATAGGTTCTCCAAACCAGTGTAAACAAGGGTTTTATAAAAGTTGTGGTGAACACATTGTGCAATTATTATTCAACATGCAGCTGAACAAAATCAAAACGAAAGCGTTTCTTCAACTGGAAATTGTTACTTGTGGATGGCATCGATCACAAGTAAAGTGCGACAGTTCGTTCGAAACGGTGAAATGTAATAACTTGTTATGTATCGTTTGAAAGCAGAATAAATACCCTTTTGTTTGACGTTTTGATCAACCGTGTATGTTGTTTAATTATTGAGTTATGATCAATCACTTGAATGCGTCCAAATTTACTTGGAATCGGGCTTTAGATAAATTTATCCGAAATAGATTGGACACGAACCAACTCATAAATTTTGTATACCGTAAAACTGGGTAACATTGATAGTTTTTTAAAGTTTATTCTAAATATTTTTTACAGCAATGCATGTTTTTCAAATTTTATATTTTTAAAACAAGTACTGAGGATCTAAGAGATAATTCGTTAGTAATATGTTGAACGAAAATTTAAGCATTTGCGCTATTTTTTTTAAGTTTTGTGAACTTCAGTATTTTGATTTGTTACTTTGATAATGCTCGATGAATGTAGAAAAAATGAGTGAAACTCAAACAATTTAGTTTTTTTAATATGAAACATTGAATGAGTATATAATCAGAAAACTTCATAAGCAATAAGAATACAACAATGAATTTGTGATGGCTATATCGGAAATACATTTCATAAGTGATGGTTTGAGTGCTTTTCAAAAAGGCGAAAAACACGAAATGGTTTTTTTAATATTTTTGTAAAATATGTAACACATACTAGGGGAATTTACGTATTCTCGGCAACCTAAGCAGCGACCTTCTTTCTATAGCCTTTTTCTCTAAGGAACGCACACATATGCAGTATTGGTTTGTTTACAATCTTTTGCTGCCAGCTGCTCTAACAATTTCAGTCGAAAGAATTGTCAAAAACTGTTTTGAAACGCTTTTACAAAGCTCCAATCTTCTCTAGTGAGAGCGAGTATTGTCGGCAACCAGTTTTTCTTCGGCAACCGTTCCATTTGAACTGCGTGTAAATCTGCTGTTCTATTATCGGCAACTCGAAATCAGCTACAATTTGTAGTGCGTGTGTTGCATTTCAAGAAAACCTTGCTAGATTGCTTTTTCTAAGTGGTAAAAATATAGTCAAATTGAACCTGAAAGCATAAAGAATCGTTTGCATGCATTCAGGGAAGTGTTTTCATAAGAAAATCCAGTGAAAATAGTGTTTCAATTTGTGTTGCCGAAAATAGTCTGTCATGCCGAAGCCGTCATTTCCCCTATATAAAAACTATATACGATATCAACGGAAATACCCTAAGCTACAATATGGAACCAATGTTTCTTATTTGGAAAAAGCACAGCGAGTAAATTTATTCTTTATATTATACTATCAAAGTTACCCGCATTATCAAAGATACCCCGTTTTACGGTACGTGTTTTCGTGGCTAGGATAAATATTTTCCGCGAACACGGCGGCAGATGTCAGTTTTGTGCTTTGATCAGAAATTTCTTTGTAATTTGTATGATCATTCATGTCGGTTTGTCGGTGTTACTTCCCCATCCTCTTGGTGCGGTGGGCTTTACTCATTCTCTTCTGTCTGGTTGGATCTCCTATCATCACGACGAAGTCCGTTTTCTACGACGACCCGTCTTCTACGGCCTACACGACCTCTAAATGAGATTTGTGGTTGTTATTGGCGATGCATATTTTAGAATATTAAAGTGATATTTAGTTATATTGGGCGAACTCTGTTCTATAACAATTTTAATGGGTGAGAAATTGTCGCTCAGCTGGTGGTCCTTTGTAGTAACCGCACCGAGGTTTCCAGCCTCAGTAACGGTTCCACGAATGTGCTGCTTCCTCTGTTGGTCCGCTAGTGCCGCTATCCCTTCTGCTGGTCTTCCGCTCTCTCCACAGTCCGTCATAAGAATTCCGTTAACGAGCTTAGGTACCTTCGGATTTGTGGCCCAGACCTAACTGGTCCATATTTAGCTTTAGTTACCTCATATTTATTCCTCTAGCTGTATCAAAATTCCCGAACCAATCAGAACCCGTTTACATACGGTCTATCACGCTTCACGCTCACTTGATTCTACTCATTTCTATTCCACACTAACTCTATCTACTACACTACACTATGTTTGTTTTGATTCGCTATGAAAGTTTGACAGATACAATGAGGTGTTCGTGCATTTTCCTATGTTTCGAGGGGTGTATCGATTAGCTTGGGACCGAAGATAGTAGCAGAGCTGAGCCAAAAAGTTGAGCACGTTTCTTCGGGACCTTCTAGTCTAAGAGTTACCTCTATGGTTGTAGAGCATAGCAGAATATGTTGACGTCATCTGCGTAAAACACACCAACTCTCTTACCGTGTTCCCCTATTTTGTTCATATTTACATATTTGCCTGTACAATACAGTCAACTTTCGCTCGTTGGGCTAAACCCGCTTAGTGAAAGGCTCTCGTTAGTTGGGCTGAACTGTCAAGCTGAAAATTGGTTGAGGGATACCACCGATTGTTTATTATCATCACAATCCTTTATCAACTATTCAAATTGGTCATACATGAGCCCCTCGAAAATGAATCAGCACTGTCAGAAATGACGTTTGATTTCGATTTAGGTTGGCTACAGCCCAACTAAAACGTAGCCCACCTAAACATAGCCCAACGATCGAAATTTGACTGTACTGCATTTTCAAAGACTAAACCGAGTTTTGTGTTTTGTAGCATGAGTGCATGAATTCTCTGCGTTATATTTTTGTGGTTCACATATTATCACAGGCAAACAGACGTAACTCTATAAATAAATTTTCCTTAAAAACATTGTCACTGAACTCACTAAGTACATCTCGCGAGCTATTCGCGAAAACATGCTCGCTTGCCAAGCCTCAAACAATGTTGCATACAAGTTCCATAGTTCCTTCGGAAGGGAAGTAAAGCCGTTGGTCCCCGGTTCATGAGTTGATGGGTCGATAGGTAGGGTCCAGGTGTGGGAGCTGCCTCCCTGGCGTCGGTAGCATTGGTGCTCAGCACGGAAAACAAATCAAGAAAAAAAAAAGTTCCATAGAATGTATAGAAACGTCAGTTATCCGATGGCAGCGTTATGGTGGGGGATTCGCGAAACTAATAATATATATATTGCACGTTAAATGCGTGTACGCCGAATGACGGGAAATAGTTACGTCTGTCTGTCAGTGATATTAAACCACCACTATTCGCATAACAGTCCCATGTCCTGTAGATTTCCTATCTACATTGAACTGTTATGCGAATAGTGGCAGTATAATGATATATAAAAAAAAAAACAACGATTAATTATTGCCCCCTATCACTCGTTGCAGTTCATCATCAAGGAGCTCTTGAAAAAGATCTAATCCTGCTAAAATGAACACCAAGCGAAACTGTTGCAACCCGGACTTGACACACACGAAGTGGACCTCGCGATTTAAAAACTTATCCTATCAATTCCACAGGCGTAGGATGGACATTTCAAAACTCTGACAAGCGAAATAGTATTTTTCAAACATTTTATTGAAATAAATAAAGCCTTACAAGCTATCAATTCTAATTACGGAATGATTCTGACTCGTTCTCATTTCCATGCAGTGTGCAAAGTTTCAAAAATCTTCTCAAGCTTATCACGGCTATTTACACCTAGGTAGAAAGAAAATGACTAGCTGCGAACGTCCTTCCGCATCCAAACGGTAGCGCTGATCGGTTCCCCACCGTGGTGTTATTTAATCTTCTTCCGCACCTCAATCTTGTACAGAATCAACCCAAACTGGTGCACCAGCGAGCTGAACTGCTTCAGGATCCGTGCCGTCGAAAATGGATTCTGCTCGTCTTCGTACGCGTAGATTGGGCACGTGTCCCCGATTTCGTCCACATCGGTGTTGATGCCGCAGAGGTGTTGGCCCTGGAGTTTCGGCATAGCCTCGATCGAAAGGTGCGGGTAGAACACTTTGCTCTGGGTGTGCTTCAACAGGATGGTGGAGCGATTGTGAAAGACTTCGTTCAGTTCCTCGGATAGGCTGGAGGGAATGGCCAGGTACAGAAGGTATCTTTGGTTGGAGCTGAACTGTTTCATTTCACACGCATCCAGTATCACTTTTAGCCGGGAGTAGAGTTCGTTCAGGTTGATGCTGCCGTATTCATAGAGGAAGAAGCGCTTCCCACGGCGGTACTTTTGACCATTTTCCGGATTGATTAGAAGCGTATTACTGCTCGGTTGGTTGAGGAAGCATTGCGGCATGCTGTAGATGTGGCTGGTGGCCAGGTGGATGTTAGTGGCGGACGATCGGATCTCGAGTTGACGACTGAGGTGTTCGGCGAGTTGGTATACGCCTCCTTGATGGACGAAGCCGTAGAACAGTGTTAAGGCGATGTTGGTTGAGTACCAGACTCGTAGAAGATACCGAGAGCTGACGCGAGTGCATAGGAAGTGGTTGTACAGGAAGCCTTTAAGATAAGTACGCTCTCGGAAAGGGTAAGATGAGCAGAATCCGGTTTTCAGCTTGGGAGCATGAAGGAGGATTAGTGGAAGCGTGATCGGGAGCAAGAATCTCGGTTCCTGGTGGTTAAAGAAGGATAGCATGACGATGGGGAAGAAAATTGCGGAAAGCATAAGTCCGACGAAGGATTGCGCTCGCGGGAGGCTAGTGTATTCGTTGGAAGCGAGGCGGTGCAGCATGACCATAAAAGAAAGTACGGCGATAACTCCCAGGATATTATACAGGATGGGAATGTTGACCATCAAGTGCAGATAGTAGGGATGAACTCCGTGTTTCTCTGTGTTCTCCGGATTGATGTTGTATCGAATGAAATTCAATGGAGTCACGACGAAATTATTGATACTGATGTCCAGTCGTTCCACTTCCGCCGGAGTTATATATCCATAGTAGAACGAATCAACTAGGATGAAGAATACAAGCGCTGGAATCGACGCAATCACAAACGTTATTATTCTCACGTTGAAATCCGCAAACGACACCGTCCTGGTTCCCATTCCCCGCAGCAACCAATGGAACACCAGTGGCAAACCGAAGAGAAAAAACGTAGGCCTATTGAAGACGCCTGCGACGCAAAGCGTCGCCATCAGAACGCACTTATTCAGCGAATGCGACGGAAGGGACATCTTCAACTTGTACAGCTTCACCTTCTCCACGGTGTTCTTCGCCTTGAGATACTTTTCCTCCAAAAACTCCTTCTGGTAAATTACCGTATTCGAATGGATCATACAATCGCTCACAATGTACAACATCAACGAACAAAGTGCCATCTCAATGCAATTTGTAAACGTCCTCGTCGAATAGACCAACATAACATACGAACTGGCCAGCGTCATCAACCGGAACTGACTCTGCAGCCCATAAGCTTGGCAAACCTTCTGCAAGCTCCAATCATTCACGAACGAAAGCATCACCATCAGAAAGCGGGGAAACACCAACGTCACATAGCTTCCCCGGAGGTTTACATCGAACAGGAACTTTGTATACATCGACAGGAACCGAAGAAAGCTGAACGGCAGCTTCATTCCAAAGAACGGAATCGCCATCGACCGGATCGGAAAGGTGCTGTTAAATTCCCAGGTACGGGTCACTTCCAGGCCGTATTCGTCCCCTGGAAAGAATATCAGTTTTAAAATTCCAACATAATACCCTGGACGAATTTTCTTAAACCACCAACCGGTAACGACTTCAACGGATTGGAAAAACTCATCCGGATGGATGTAGCCCACCTGCGGGATGAAAACCATCGCCACCCGGAGAAAGCACAGAATATAGTAGGACACTAGGGACGCATTTTTGGATTTGATCGATTTGGAATCCATCCTCGATTCACTTAAATGATATGAACTTTAATTTTCTTCAGAGAAAACTCAAATATTGATCGGCGAGAGCGGTTTGTTTTGGTTTTTTGTTCATCGTTCGGCTCGGCACTGTTTTGACAACGAGAACTGTCAGTCAGAGCGAGCGGCGTCGGTTTTCGTCAAGTGGGGTGGCTGGGTGGAAAATTCTTTCGTTCAGTTTTATGCTAGCGGTATGTAATATTCACGGTCGTTTAGGCTTAATCAAAATTGAGTCGAGTTGACTCAATATCGGTCAAGGTTAATTTGCTCAAAAGTGAGTTGAGTATTCCGGCCTTTTCCAGGAAATAGTTCAAGATCAATCAAAGTTTCACTCACTCTATTAGTATGCTACAAGACTGAGTTACATTTTCATGGATTTCCTCATATTCGAGACGTTTCTTCTGGTTGTCCCCTGGGGTTTTCACGGCTTTTGCCCAGAAAATAGATGCCGACTTGACACAATTTTAAGTTAGACTAAACAACCGTCTAATAAAATCGAAGGGATGTCTGCGCTGACTACGACTAGTGATGTCCGACTATTTTTCAATGAATCGATTTATAGCTAATAAATAAATTATTTCAATAAGTTTCCATTGATCGATTCGATTAATCAGCGTGTATTATAAGTGCAAACCTTTAAATCGATTTATCTCCGTAAATATAGCTCTAATCGCGATTTGAGGGGTGTTTAGATGATCGAAATTCGACCTTTATTTGTCGGCTGGTGGGTCTTCCAAACCTTTAAATCGATATATCTTGTAGCGTGCAAAATGCGGCTAACGGTTTTCCGTCTTCTGGATCGTTCCCTGGCTCGATAAACGGACGGCTTAAGCGCCACCTCCAGGGAGGACCGTCCGTCGAGTCTTGTTTGCCCGGCTAGAAACCCGACCTCAGGGCGGGTTTGTTCAATCAGAACCAAAATTTAAGTTGAAACGATACAGAAGACTCAAACGGTACGATGGATCGAGATTCTCCACACAAAGAGGTCGCCTCAATCGCGACAAGAGAATAGTTGATGCTACTGGTCGTTCTACCTACTCACGAAAACAACACTCACCAGTATCATCACCGGAGGAACTCACTTATTCAAAAATCCCCGCCGATCGAGACACGTGAGTGGAGAGACTGATTTCCCAGGCAGTCTAACCTGGCGTACAAGAACATAAACACAAAAAAAGTAGAACGACGCGAAATGTGAGAATTCTCGAAACCAAAAATAAGTTACATGGGAAACTTTTACATTTAACGGAAAAACATTTATTGGGGTAAACTACTATAAATATTTAGATAAGTTTATTTTATTGCATAACCTAGGTTTTCATCATTCGTGTTTCTGCCTCTCTAGTTTCCCTACTGTGTGCGGATTTTGATCTAGTGATCGCTAGCTAGCTTTGCTCATCGAGCTCTTCTTTCGTGGAGTGTGTGTGTGTGGTGTCGTTAACGCATGCGCATGGTTAAATAATTGTTGGTTTACTCACGGTACCGAAATAGCTGCCTGATGAATTGGTCGGCAAAGCAGATACCGGCTGATTTGCGGCGGTATTGTGGCTATCGCCCGAAATGCGGCGATTGGCGATGATGCTGCGGAAATTCCCAGTCGATGGATGGTCTCGAAGCTGGTACTGAACTCGCGCCGAAATGGATTGGCGCTGTAGACGACGTTGGGGACGTCGGTGTTTTTTACGTGTTGACCACGTGTGGCGGAAATGGCGAAATGACCGCTCTGTCGAAACGGTTTGTTTCCTTCCGGCTTTCCCCTCAAACCGGGACTTTTGACGCCGAAGCGTGGGGTCGAGAGTCGCGTTTTTACTCGAGATGCGGTGTGCCGAGCTTCGGCCGTATATCGCTAGAAGCGAATCCTATATAAAAAGCCGTCGAACGGCTGTTCGACGCGTTAACAATAAAATTTCCACACTAAACAATTATCCACGAATTACCTTTTCTCTACACGTACGCACACACAAAAATTGACCGCACGTCAACTTTGACCTAACTGCTGAACTTTAGGCTACACGAAGGAAACAAAAAGTAACATTAAATTCGATCACTAGACTTCTCACATTTTTTATAGGTACCAATTAAAACACACCGCGACACAAGAAAACTATTTCACGCACTCTCGCCTCTTCCACGGTCCAGGTCAAAATGGACGAGTGGACGTTCCGAAAACCCTCAGATCAAATCGTGATCATAGTCTTCGTGGCCGGAAGTACGTCAATTACCGAAGTAATTAACGACCTTTTCAAACGACAAGTCTCATCAACTACGATCTTGAGCCGATTGAACACCCTATCTCTTTCTCGCTCATACCGTTTGATTAAACTGTCTCGCTTCATTCTAATTCTGGCTCGATTGATTTTTTTACGAGAGAGAATGTTCGGATTCGAACCTTGGACTTTACGACGAGTCTCACAAACCAGAGAACGTTTCCAGTGGCCGATAAAATGAATTTGGAAGGCAGCTTGTATGCAAGCGTTACGTTTTTATGCGGATTTACAATAAGTTTCATTTGTAATGGTGATTTCAATTTAATTTAAGTGAGCATGTAGTTATTATGTAATGAATATAAATAATAAATACATAACGTGAACGATAATTATTAATGGAATTCAAAAATACATGGCAGAACAAAATATAATTCAAATAAATACATGGAAATCCTTAAATAAGTTAAATTATATTTACATAAAAGTGACCATGCTACAATCTCCGTAAATATAGGTCGATACGCGATTTGAGGGGTGTTTAGATGATCGAAATTTGCATACCCGGATTACCCATTATAAAATATTTCATAAGCCATTATTTGTCGGCTGGTGGGTCTTCCAAACCCTTAAATCGATTTATCTCCTTAAACATAGCTCTAATCGCGATTTTAGGGGTGTTTAGATGGTCGAAATTTCCATACCCGGATTTCCCAGTATAAATTATTTCATAAAACTTTATTTGTCGGCTGGTGGGTCTTCCAAACCTTTAAATCGATTTATCTCCCTAAATATAGCTCTAATCGCGATTTGAGGGGTGTTTAGATGATCGAAATTTTCATACTCGGATTTCCCAGTATAAAATATTTGAGGGGTGCTAAGGTGATCAAAATTTTCAAACCCGGATTTCTCAGTATAAAATATTTCATAAACCTTTATTTGTCGGCTGGTGGGTCTTCCAAACCTTTAAATCGATTTATCTCCGTAAACATAGCTCCGATTTTAATTTGAGGGGTGTTTAGATGATCTAAATTTTCATACCCGGATTTCCGATTAAAAAATATTTCCTAAACCTTTATTTGTCGGCTGGTAGGCCTTCCAAACCTTTAAATCGATTTATCTCCGTAAATATAGCTCGAATCACGATTTGAGGGGTGCTTAGGTGATCGAAATTTTCATACTCGGATTTCCCAGTATAAAATATTTAGTAAATTTAGCTCTAATCGCGATTTGAAGGGTGTTTAGATGATCGAAATTTTCATACCCGGATTTCCCAGTATAAAATATTTCATAAACCTTTATTTGTCGGCTGGTGGGTCATCCAAACCTTTAAATCGATTTATCTCCCTAAATATAGCTCTAATCGCGATTTGAGGGGTGTTTAGATGATCGAAATTTTCATATCCGGATTTCCCAGTCTAAAATATTTCATAAACCTTTATTTGTCGGCTGGTGGGTCTTCCAAAACTTTAAATCAATTTATCTCCGTAAATATAACTCTAATCGCGATTTGAGGGGTGTTTAGATGATCGAAATTTTCATACCCGGATTTCCCAGTATAAATTATTTCATAAACCTTTATTTGTCGGCTGGTGGGTCTTTCAAACCTTTGAATCCAGATAGTATGCAAGCTCTATACAGATAGACAGAGTGCTAAGACGTGTGGAATTCGGATTGTTTTTCGGAGTGTTTATAGCCACCGGGCTGTAATTATTCAAAGTTCAGTTAGTTACTGAAAGTGTTTAATGGCACGAGAAAGTGAAGTTTACTTTTGCCAAGATTGTGGAAGACAGAGTGAACTTATTAAAAATTGAGTAAACAAGATCATCTGAAGGAAAGTGGATTACTGTTTGACATTCCTTTAGCTTGCGTGGAATAAGCCGGCTAGCGCAAGCAAGATTGCATGCAACATCGCTTGCAAACAAAACTTGCTCCAACCGTAGCTAGCTGCCAGTGAAAGCTCCTCACAAACGCATTGCTCTATTGTCAAGAGCAGTGTCTATCGTTAGGCGTGTGGAGAACGAATCTACTTGTTCGATATTGAACTTACCTGGACCTTTGGACGTGTTGGGTTAAAACGTCCCTATCACAACTGGACCTTAAACGCTTGGTTGAGATAGTACTAGGAGAAAGCGTAGTCGTCTCCCACTTCGGTGGGGCCGCAAAACTGTCCACCTGGACCTTAACCCTTGGGTGGTTCAGATAGAAGGTGAAAGGGTAGTCGTTACTAGTCTAGGCTAGGGCGCAAGTTGGGAAACAGTTTGAACCAGCGGTTAAAATACAAAACGATTCTGAGCGTTGCACACGGATCCTGAACCTCCTGTGCTCCCTGGCCTCATGGCTACAGCACTTTCCGCACCGGGGGACCCCCTCTTGGGTGATCCACCAGACGACAATAATGAGCAGCATAGTAACGAAAATACCCGCACTGTACCAGCGTGGATGGACCGCCTTGGCTTGCATGGAGAACGTTTAATTCTACAAATGTCTGCTGTTGGCGAAAATTCAAAACTACCTGTCCCGTTCATCATCGGAAAGTCCATTGAAGATGTATGTGGAGGAAAAATCGAATCAGCAAGCACAGAGGACAAAGGAAGGAAGTACGTGCTTAGAACCAGAAGCATTCAGCAAGCGAAACAGTTAATCAACATGAAGAAACTAATCGACGGCACAGAGGTTGTAGTAGAGCTCCATCCCACTCTAAGCAGGTGTCGCTGTGTTGTGAGCTGCCACGAGGTTGTGGAAATGACGGAACAAGATCTACTAGCGGAGCTTAAAGATCAAGGAGTAGTTGAAGTTCGAAGAATATCTCGACTAGAAGGGAAGAAAAAAATCAACACACCAACACTGATACTTACCA